GCTTCTAACAGGGAAACACCATTTCAGTGTGACCCAGGCAGGGATGACAGCTCTACAATGAAAATCTGCACACAGCTAATCACTGCTGCTAATTAATTTCTAAATTTAGAAGCATCACAGAATGTCTCCTTTCCTAGATATGTGAGAATGGACAATGGGGTGATAAAACATGGAACAGAAGTGGGATTAGGATTGACCCCATCACAGTGGCAAAAGGAAAGATGTCACACCCATGTAACACCTATAAAGTGCCAGGAGATGGAAGTGTGCATACAGGTCAGCCAGACACTGCTTTAACACTCAACAAATCCCAAATCCCCTTTCCTGTTCCAACAGAAAAAATAACCTAAACAAACTAAGCCCTAAAATCCCAAACAATCCCAAAGTCTTCCATAATTTTAACCAATTCTACAAAGCCTGAAGGATACAACATTCAGGATTCACCCAGGATTAGGGTGTTTTACAGCCTTTGAAGTTTTTAAGTTCCTAGCTATAATTCTGTTCCTGTGTAACAAGATTCCACCATTTTGCCTCTGGGAGTAGCACCCTGGATTGTCACATGCAAGAAAGGAATCCTTACCTGAGCCATTATGGATCTTAGTTACAGAGTCGAGATGGGTGAGGCTAAGGGAAGGAAAAGAAAGCAGGTTGGAGACAAGACAGCAGGGAATTGTGAATTAGACACAGGCTGTAAAACCAGCTGCCCACAGGTACACCTAAACCTCTTCACCTGCTGAAGCCCTGCACATTCACAAGGATAACAACCCATGATAACAAAACCCCAAAATTCTGCTGCTAACCCCAGGCTCAGTTCTACAGACTTCAGTAAATTCTACAGAGGCACAGGAACTGCTAATCCTTAATTTCTACAGCTTTGCTAAGGCTTTGGTCAGTCTTTGCTAAGTCTTAAAGTCTTTGCAAAGACTTAGCAAAGTCTTAAGTACAGCAACAGTAGAACATGTCAGCAAAGACAGCCTTGAGAGGGGCAGAGCCCCAGGGCTGTTACCTGTGAATTCTCCTGTAGGCATCCTGCTCTTCTTGGCAAAGGATCTTGGGCAGCTCCACAGCTGATTCCAGACACACCTTCCCAATGGTTTCATGGGGAACAACATGAATGGGAATTTCAATCCTGTCATATCTAGAAGGGTATGAGATATAATTAAAAGCAGCAAACAAAAAACTGACTTCTACAACCTTGCAACAGTCTGTCCAAGGCCTGGCAGTGCTGCACATCCACTTTTGGAACACATGCCTGAGCTGACAGGCAAAGGGAAGCATTTTATATCCACATACTTGTCTTGAAGTTTAATTGTAAGGTGCAAACCTGAGGGCTTGACCTCTAGAGCTGGAAGCAAAAAGGTGGTGCTGCTACACACTGAATTGCAGCACAAATCCCCACCCTGACCTCAAATCTTAGAAGAATTAATTATCTAGGCTAAAAGAATCATTGCTAATCTTTAGATTCTCTTCCAGCAGCCAGCAGAGCAGAAGTGAGGAGACCCTGTGCAGGCATCTCTGTACATTTGCTCCTCACAACAGGCTGAGAAGCCACTTATTAGAGACAAACCAGAGGAAGGAGAGACAAGACAAAATACAATCAGATCTAATATTCTTCTGTACTCACTCTGAGCTCTTCTGGGCCTGAACAGACTGGAAACAGGTATAGAGAATTCTACCTGTCTAAGAGAGACAGTAGAAAGTCAGATTCCAAAGGCAAAAAAAACCATCTAAAGGCAAAGACACATTCCTCTAGGAAATTTTCAATAGAATTCCAGAGGTTTTGCTGTAATTTACTTGCTGGAGGTGCTTAGGGCATACCTTGATAAACCCTTTAATGAGGAAAAACTCTCTAGCAGCAGCTGCCTGGACAGCCTAGACCTGAGTGTCAGCTTATCTCACATGACAGCCACACCTCCTGGAGAGGTTGGAACAGGGGCAGAGCTGTGTGTGCTGGGCTGGGCACCTGAGGGAAGAGCCCTGGCCCATTTCAGGCACACTCTGCAGCTGCTGGGCAGCTCAGAGCAATCATCACTTGTTCTCCTGCCCTTGGGATCACAATCCAAACCACTCCTGCTGTGCTTTCCATGTGCTCCCAGCACAGCTCTGCCCTTCTTGCAGGCTGCACCCGAGGACTTCAGCTCTGTCCTGATGTTTCTCATGAGCCCCTGGAGGGTTTGCTGCCATTTTAAAGTTGCCTACCTTGGTGTTCTTGTCCTCAATGAAGCAGGAAAAGATGAGCCCCACAAACCCTTGGTCCATCATCTGATACATGGCCTGTGTGCGGACATCTGCAGGGACAGAAATGAGAGTGAGAGCTGCCCTGCTCCCCTGCAGCACTGGGAAATATCTGCCACATTCTGAAGGGTGACCTGGAATTTGGTAACAAATGCCACGAACTTTATGTTTACATCCTCACTCTGGGTGACTTGAGTTCAAATAAAGAACTTGATACAATTTAAAATGTAAACAGTTAAATGTAAACAATTTACAATGTAAATAGAAAAACTTAAAAATAGAAGATGAGCTCACAAAACCAAGAAATTATCTCACAGGCAGCCTGCTGCCACAGGTCACCATGAAGTCCAACATATATAAGGTACTCAGGTACTTCTTTTATGAGAGTTTTTAGCTATGCATTAACACTCACAGATATCAGAACTCATCACAGCAGGCCCAGGATGCCCACGGCTTTTTTTGCTATTCCCCACACCCAAGGTGTGGTTTTTCCATCTGGAAGAACAGCAGTACCAGCAGTAGCTGATCTGTGACTCCTGGGCCACATCTGAGTCCTTGGAGAGCGCACACAGCGATGGGGATACACTGGAGGGGCCCCTGCAGCCCACCCAGACAATCAGGGAATGTTTCAGACTCAGAGCTGCTGCAATGTGCAGCTCTGGGGCTCAGTGACAGCCCCAGGGGCAGCAGGTGGAGTTTGCCCAGAGCCCAGGGCTGCTCTTACCCACGTGTGAGGGCCACACGGTGATGTGGGGGTGGGAGTGGTACCAGCCCACCACCCTCATGGGCCGTCCTGTCATCTCTGCCAGCCTGTGTGGGGGTCAAGGAGCCAACCAGAACCAACAGACAAAGGGAAGGGCTGCATGCACAGGGGAAAACAGCAGAGCTTTAACGGGTTACCTATGAGGCAACAGAATTCCTGATCTGTCATGGACATATTTTATGAAAAATCCTTTTGTTAGGATCTTTTCTCCTGAGAAGCTGAGAGGTCTCAGGAACAAAATGTAAACAATAATTATCTGCTGCTGTGGAATGCAACAGGTGCATCTGGGATTGGTCTCATGTGGTTGTTTTTAATTAATGGCCAATCACAGTCAGCTGGCTCAGACTCTCTGGTCAGTCACAAGATTTTATCATTCCCTTCCCTTCCTTTCAAGCCTTCTGATGAAATCCTTTCTTCTATTCTTTTAGTATAGTTTTAGTACATAATTTTCTTTTAATAAAATATATATAATAAAAAAATAATTCAGCCTTCTGAAACATGGAGTCAAGATTCTCATCTCTTCCCTCATCCTGGGACCCCTGTGAACAGCACCACACAGATCCCTTTGGAGGAGTGATAAGAAACAGTGCAGGGAGCTGATGGAGCCTCTTCCCCAGCACCATCAGGAGCCACTGCTGCAGAAGCAAACTGGATTTTGTTTGCATGTGGCAGCAAACCACATTTCAGCCGCTGTCCAAAGCAGCATCCCCGAGTGTGTGCAGAGAAGAGGCTCCCCAGTGCAGCACCTGGAGCTTTGCTGACCTTTCCTTTTCCACTCAGCCTCCCTGCTGAACTGCCACTCCCTGCACAAACACACTGCAGTTTTACCTGTGACCAAATACAAAACAATGATAACTAATTTATAACATAATTCCACTGCAAGCACTGGAACCAACAAAGACTCCAGGGAAAGGCAACAGCCAGCGCAGCCCTCCCAGCTGAGCAGCTGCAGCAGGGAGCAGCTGACAGCTTCAAACCCACTGCAGGCCTAAAACACAGCCCATGATAAGAGCTCTGAGGTAAAGAGAGCCTGCTGCTGTTTCTGCTGAAGGATATCTCTGCTTCAGTGGAAGCAGCTGAGAGCTGCTCCGGTGAGATCTCCACACGGTCTTTCCTCTTGTCAGAGCGCCGCAGGATGATCACAGAGTGGATGTGGACGATTCGGTTCGTGTCCACCTAAGGACACAGAGGGGAAATCAGAGATTTCTCTGCCAGAGAAACAGCAACCCGCAGGGCACGGCCGCTCTGAGCAGCGCAGGGCACGGGTGCGCACGACAGAACGCGGGGGTACGGGCACGGGTACCGCAGGTGGGACCGCAGAACGCGGGGGTACACGCATGGGAAGCCTTCCTGACTCTAAGATTCGACTCTCTTAGAGCTGACCCAGGCGCTGGCGGCTGCCAGGGCCGCAGACGAGCGGGGTGCCAGGGTAGCTCCGTGCGCGATGCCGGCGCTCACAGCCCGCGCCCCGCGTCCCCGCGCAGGCCACAACCCGCACAGGCAGCGCCGCCACCCGCCCCTCCCGGGGCCGCCCCTCTGCGGGCGGTACCTCTCCGATGCAGAGCCCCATGACCTCCTCCTTCTCGGTGCTCAGCGCGTGGTTCAGGCACACCAGGAACGCGTCCGCCTCCAGGTGCACCGCCTGCACCGCCATCTTGCCTCTCCCGGTCCGCCTGCCCTCTCCCCGCCCCCTCGGCGGATTCACCAATAGCAGCGGCGCTCGCGGGCCCTCCCAACCAATCGGCGCAGCCCCCCGCGAGGCGAGTGGTGCGGCGCGGCGGAAGGGCCGTGCCGCCCACGGGAGCGGCAGCGCCGGGGTTCCGGCCGGGTTCCGCCCGGCGGCCGATGCCCGGGGCGGAGCGGCGGGGGATGGCAGGGCCGGGCCTGGATGGGACGGCCCGGCCCGATCCGGCTTAACCCCACTCGGCTCGGCCCCGGGCCCGGCCTCTGGGGCCTGCGGGCAGGCGCGGGGAGGCGGCGGGTCCGGGGGGCGGGGGACGGCTTAGCGCGGCGCACGCGGCGCGGCGGTCACGGCGCGGGTGCAGGTAGGTCATGGCGGGCCCGGCCCGGCCCCCGCCCGCCGCCGCCTCACGGCCAGGGCCGCCCGCCCGGCCCCGCCGCCCCGGCCCGGGGGAACGCGGTGGCTGTGGCGATGTGCTGCGCCCTCTTCCCTCCCGGCCGCCCCGCCATGGCCGGTCCGGTCCCACGCCTGCGCCACACCCCCTCCCCTCCGGCCCTCCCTGCCCGGCTTGGCCGCTCTGTCCCCGCTCCCGCTCCTCGGCCTGGCTCTTGCGTCCCTTCCCTCGCCCCTTTGCGTGGCTTCCCCCGCATTATGTCCATCTTTTTGTCTTCCTGTTTTTTTAGATCCCACCAAAGCTCGGCCTGCCCTCCCCACGCTGCTGGACAGCCCGGCTGGTCGGTGAGCATCTGCTACCCCTCAGTAGGTCGGGCAGAGCGGAGCGTGGAGTCAGAGGGGCTTGCTCCAGGCAGAGTAGAGTCCGAACCCCCAAGAAGAAGCTTTAGAGTGTCTCCACATGCCCTTAAGTCACCAGATCCCCGAGTTGTTGCCAGAGCTGGGCTGGGTTTTTCAGGAAGGCTCAGCACCCTCGTAGCCCTGAGGTGTGCAGGCAGCTCTGAAGCCCCAGCAGAAGGCCAGGCTGGCCAGCCTTGCTTTGGGGCTGTACTGTGTCAGCACAGCACTGCTGAGCCTCAGCAGTGCTTCTCCTTGGTGCCTAAATGGCAGCTGAACTCCCTGTTGCTTTTTAGAACAGAAGGTGATAAAGGGTGCAGTTTATTCAGCACACTGACCTCCAGCTCTGGGGTGGTCCAAGCAGCATCTGGAGCAATTTCTGTCACTGTTTCCATAAAATATTTTAATGTACCCAACTTAAAACCAAATAAATTGTTGTCACTACAAGCTGCATTCCTCCTCCTGGCCATTTTGACATTTATCCATATATTATGGCTCAGAAATCCATCCAGGTCCCAGAACAGCGTTAAACTTCTGAGGTGGATACTAGATGGACAGAACATCTGCCACTCTTATTCCTGTCTATGGGGACTGGGATTGGAATCTCCCCAAAACAGCACTTAGAACAGCTCAGCCTTCTACAGCTGTGTTGATGGAAATGTTCAAGTCTCAAAGGATGATGCTGCAATCCTGCAAATTTAAGCTGTTGGGGTTTTTATTGGTTGTGATGGGGTTTTTGATAGGTTATGAAGCAGGCAGTCTTAAGAACTTGGGTTTAAAATTTGTTTAAAATATAAGTAAGCTCTCTTCTCCTTCCACCCATGTCTTCCTTCAGGCTTTGTTTTTGCTTTCTAATCCAACCTACAGCAATAAGACACTGTGTATGTTTTCAGGCGTGTGCTTGTGGAATCTCCAGTTTCTTTGGTGTGTTTGGGTGCTGCAGACACCTGTCCCACCCCAACCCCATTCCTGTCCCACCCCAGACCCCATTCCTGTCCCACCCCAAACCCAACTGACGGTTTTGCCTGACCTCAGGGTTTTCCATGTGGCACTACCTGGGCACCTTCACCAAAGGCCAGACTGAGCCTTTGAGCTTTGCAGTTTTGGGGGAGCTTGGGGCAAAGGGTGACAGCACACACGAACCTCTGCCCTTTCTGCACAGTGTCCTCTGCATGAGACCTTGTTCTGTTGTCCTGGCTCTGTCACTGCTGCCATCTCCACTGCCCATGGACACAAATGTGCATGTTGTGCTTTGGTCCTGCTCCCTGTGGTTCAGCCAGGCTGAACCAGGGCAGTGTTTGGATAGGAGACCTTCCAGGAGAGCTTACCTACAGTAGGAAACACAGTTCACTTACTGAGATGTAATTTTCTATTACTGGAGCCAGTCTTGAGCCTTCTGGTTCTGGGGATGATGACCTGTAAAAATTCCAGCTTTGAATGGAATGAGAGCAAGTTCTTGGGCATTTCTGATCATGATGGAACTTTTTGCAGTTTACTGCAGAGTATCCTGGCCGAATTCCACCTGGGGTGATTATGTTCAGCTGACTGAAAATGATCAGTGGCAATTGCTGCATTTCACTGTTGGGCAGAGTTCCACACAGGGGTTTAAATTTGTAATGTGGCTTAGGGTAAAGCAGAAAGGAAAAGAATTACAGAAATGTCCTTTTAACCCTTATTCCTGAAGGCCTTGTGAGGCTTGTCAGACTGCAGTCACATTCCTCTAAATGCCAGTGATCCAGCTGGTGGGGCATTCCTTGGAATGCCTGTCCCTCATCACAGGATGGCAGCCAGAACAGTGGTGCTTTGTGTGGGGCACATACACATCCCCACACATCAAGCAAGGCAACAAACAGAATGGGTGAAAAAAAGAAGTAATAAAAGAACACTCAAAGTTTTCTTTGTGATGGTGCTGTTCAGGCTGACCCGTGGTTGGTGTTTTGTTCTCAAAAAGGCTGAGTGCTCCTTTGGCTCAAAAAGATAGAGAAACACTGATGTAAGATATGGAAGGCATCATGGAAGAGTATTTTCTGTTATATACGCAGCCCAATGTATAACAAGTTGTTTTGTTTTTTTTTTTTCTCTCCCTGACCTTCCCTCCTTTATTTTGTACCCAGATTTTCTTGCTCCTGTTTGAAATATGCCTTATAACCTTACAAGTTTTCAGAAGACCACTGTGTTTCACTGGGATAAAGAATATTGCATCTGCTTCATAGCAGGAGGATGTTGTATGTGTTACAGCTTAACTTTGTTCTACTTTACACCTAGATAAAGGATGAAGACTGTCTGTACCATTTTGATTACCTCTTCTAGGGTTCAAAGAGAATCATTTCCCCTGACCTCCATTTGCTAATGGCTCAGCTTGATCTAACTGGCACACAGATAAACGTGCTGTTAAACAAAAGTTACAGTAGCAGGAAGCACCTCAATGCCCCAAGCTCCTCTGCCCGTGTCGGTGGCTCTCTGTGACCAGCCAGAAGCCGAGTGACGCAGTCCTGAGCGCTGCTCCCGAGGAGTTTGGGTGTGAATGGACAGTGCTGCCACCCTGAGAGATGAGACAAAGGACCCTGCACCCGACAGCTCAGCGAGCTCCAAAGATGAGAGTCCTGCACACCGAGCCCTGTGCTCTGTCTCCAGAGTGATCTCCGTTCCCGTTGAGCTCACCTCACTGCTGCTCACCAGTTTTGCTTTTGGGATTTAGACACCTCTTTTTTCCCCCCCGTTTCACACAAAGACTGTTAATAGGACTGTTAGTGGAATGAGCAAAGCCAATACTCAAAGGGTTTAACTTTGTACCAATAGCACCTTTTGCCCCAGAATGCCTTACCAATGCCACCCGGCCCGCGTGTCCCAGTGTACGACTTGGCCTGACGTTTCCGCTGGCTTAGGCACCACCTCAGCCTCCCGAGCTGACTTTTAGGGACATTTCCGCACGTAGCATCTCATCCGAGAGTCAGACACCACCTGGCTGCCGGCTCCGGGAGCTCTCTCCGTGAATGTGCTCGGAGCTAAAGAGGCCACGTGTGCAGCCCGCGGGCCGATGCCGTCCAGCTGAGCTGCGGGAGCGCCCGAGGGATGGCACAGGGAGGGGAGGCAGGCGCTCCTCCCGTGCGGCTCTGGGTGCGCCGCGTGGGGGTTTACTGCGATGAGCACCGCAAAACCTGGCTCGTGGCTGCGGAAGAGGCAAGTGTGTGCTTTGAGCTTCCCCCTGGTTGTAGCGTTGCTGTTTCAGGTGCCTCTGCCAGTAACTGCCTGCTCTGTTTGTTACTTTCCCCCAGGAGGAAGGTATGCTGAGGGCTCGGATCCAAAGAGTTCAGGTTCCCCTGGGTGAGGCGCTGCGACCCAGCCAGCTCCCCCCATCCCGGCTGCCTCACATGTGGCAGCTGTCCCAGGGTGAGCAGTACAGGGATAGTAACTCTCGCGTTTGGGAGATAGAGCACCATCTCATGGTAAGGATGGTGGCAACAATAGAACATAGTCATTCCTGTTTGTGAAGTCATTTGAGACCCTTGAGGGACGGCAAAGGACTGTTACTTTGTTGAAGTCCATTAGCTCAACCGCAGTAACTGTAGACGTATTGAACTTTTCCTTGTCACTTACAGCTTGATGGTGTTGAAGAACTGCTGCTTAAACTCGTGCCTGGGGATTAATCTGGTATGTGCAGACATTACCCTGCTTTGTACTGTGCACTGTTTACTCCCAGTCTTTCTTTAATATGAATTTTTGTCTTCCAGGAGCAGTGGCTCTAGGAAGATGCCATTGTCTGTTTTGTACAATAAAAGGTTCTCTCTCCACTGAAATGCAGCCACCTTTGAGGTGGAAGCAGTTAAACAACACACAGCAGCATCACACAAGAGTTTAGGACAGGCAGTGGAGTATTGTGACCTAGTGAAACATCAGGGGGAGTTCTAGGTAGGCAGAATGTGATTGCCCCAAATGGAATTCGGCCAGGATGCTGCAAACAACGCCCTAGTGACACTGGAAACTGCTGTGGGCTGGTGACTTGTCAGAATCTGGACAGGCAGCAGCTCCCAGCTCTGAACAGAGGCTCAGAGGGTTCAGTCTCACCACCACTTTCAGTGACACTGGTGCTTTCCTTAGAGGTCTCCCATTCAACTACTGGTACACCAGCTTTTGCTTGGCTTTTGATCTTACACTGACACAGTTACAGGTGTCACAGCTGCAGAAAAATGAACTCGAGTGTCTGAAATCCTTTTCTAATGGATTTGAACAAGATGGAGCTGTCTTCCAATCTGGTTGAGGGTTTTTTTGGACAGAGGGAGAGGATTTCCAAGAGACTTCCTCCTGAAACAAAATGAAAAGAGCCCTTCTTGTTGGCTTTATGACATATACACAACTGAGTTGTTTGGTTGATTGTTTTTTTAAATGCCTTCTCCAGCTGTGGTTCCATGACTTGCCACCAAATCCTTGGTTGTGTAAAGCTCCAGAGGTGGATTCACATAAATACATGTCTCAGTAGAAGGTCTAGAGAGAGAAAACTCTTAAAATTTAGTCAGCTGTGTTAATTTGAATATTTTCTGGATTCTTTGTAAAACCAAGTGGAAAAGGACACATTTTAACTAGAGAAAAGAAGAAGGCTTTTAAACTTAGTGTCATGAAACTTCCTCTATTCATTGTCTCCATCATCATCTTTTAGCCAGACAGAGTTCTTGTGTATGTTGGCAGGCACCTGGGAGCAGCTGTAGATGTTTTCTGAATGATGACAGTGGGGGAAATGTGGAGCTCCTGAAAGATGTGGCTGTAGGACATTGTCTTTTCCCCACCCCCTGAAAAGAACCCTGATCTACAGTAACATTTTTCTGTCATTTTAGTTCCTGAACATGTCCCGGAAGGATCCCTGCCAGAAACAAGCCTGTGAAATACAGAAATGCTTGCAAGGTACCAAATGTCATTTTGTCTTTGGTGTCCTGATTTTTGGTGGAACTTAATTCTTTTAAATTAACCTTGTCCTTTCACCTTGAGAAGGAACAAAGCACATTAGCATTGTCTGGTTGCAAAATGAACAAAATTATAATGTCTGATTTTAATAGAATTGCTTTGTGCTTAATTGTAAATAATGAGACTCATTAGTATAAAGCAGATCATTAGTAACAGTAATGCGCTTGTGGAGTTCTCCATGCTGGCAGTGAGATCCCAGGTGTATTTTTGGGACTCAGCTGTGGGCAGGGAGAGCTAGACATTTATAATAAGCTCTCTTACAGTGTGGTTAGTGAGGGAGTAGGTGGATGGTATGAGAAGACTGCAGAGCTGCTCCAGGGGTGTTTGTTTCAAGAATTCTGTCAGGAACAGGTTAGGTGATCTGTCCTCAAGGTGTGAAATGGTCTTCATGTCCCCAGCAATTGTCTAGAGACAATTAGGACCTTTAATGTCCTCATGGTTTGGAGCATTCTCCCATGAAGGACTGCCTTCTCTCCCTGTACTATCTCACTTAAAAGCTGATGGTTGACCCTGTTTTGGTCCCATCTGTGGCAATGTTCTTTTTATAACATTTGTGGAAGTTATTCCAAGTGTTTTGCCCGTGTAGGTTTGTGTACAGTGTTGATCTGAATGGTTAAGTGTTGGCAGAGAAGCTCTTTGCTGCATGTGCAGTCACTGTCACTGCTGCAGTTCATGTTTTGTGCTGTGGAGCTGTCTGATGGGCACAGATGAAGCAGCTGTTGACAGAGAACAAAGCAATTTTCCCCTGTAAAAATTAAAGTACAGAGCCTTAATTGCACAGTCACTGTACCCAATGTGTGAGATGGAGGGTGGGAGCTGCACCTGTGGGAGATGTTGACTTCTCAAAAGTCATTGTTCCAAAGATCTTGCTGCTCTTTTGTGAGACTGAATGCCTGCTGTAAATCTCTTTTGTGTTCTCCTGTCTGTGTGTGACTTTCAGCAATGCATCCTTGACAGATGATGGTGTGCCTGAAGGTAGCTACAGTTTTAGAAACAAAGCTGCAAAGGCAGAGGGACAGTTAGGAGAGCCTTGGAGCACTCATCAACTGCAGATTATGGCAGAGAGAGATCAGCTCTCGTCTCCAAGGGCCTGCCGTGCCTCCTGGGCTGCCAGCTTGCAGAAATCACCACAACCTTTTTCTCAGGCGTGATCTCTGTGTTTGTATTACAGCTCACTCACCAACCCAGTTAGAGAATTCATAGCTCAGTGATCACAGCAGCATGGTTTGCTCATTAACCAGAAGGTGTTCACTGCTGCTTTCGGGGCTCTCCATGGGTGCTGTGTGTCTCACATGATGCTGCTGTTGCTTCTTTTAATCTTTTAAAAGTCAGAATGCAGCTGTGTAGTGCTTGCAGAGCTCATCCAGGGCAGAGCAGGGGGCTGTGCATGCCCTGTGTTTCTGGGCAGACAGGCAGGTGGTTCTTAACTCAAACCAGACCGAGTCTCTTCCTGCAGGATTCCTCTCTGAGTCACAGCGAGCCACAGCCTTAGATAGCTGTGAGCAAGAAAATGATGGAATGCTTGTAAGCAGCTGAAGAGCTGGGCAGGGTGTGCTCCCTCAGGGAACAAAGCCTGTTCCTCTCTGCAGACCTGGTGTCTCCTTCTTTTCCAGCGAACAACTACGTGGAGTCCAAGTGTGAAGCTGCGCTCCAGGAGATGCGGAAATGCTGCGCTCGGTACACCAAGGGCAGGTCCGTCTGTTGTTCAGGGTTTGAGAGGGAAGAAATGGAGAGAGAAAAGGCTAAGTTGACTTCAAAAGGAATTTCCCCACCACCTCAGTAACACAAAGCATGGACTCACTTGAAGAGCTCGTGTGTGTTTTTTCAAGCCTTCTTTAGACTTTCAGAAAAGCCAGATTGCTCCTGGAACACACCGTTCAGCACACCAAAAAGCATTACACAGTACCAACATATGGCCTGGTTAACAAACTTTATTTTCTGTACGAAAACATAATCTATGTTGCCTCTGCATCACACCTGTGAAATGTCAACTTGATGTTTTTAGGATGCTTACCTTACTCTAATCCATCCTTGCTCTAAAAATGGAGAATTGGAACCGAGTTATTCTGGCTTCTGGAGCGAGAGGTACAGGAAATGAGCTCAGAAGAGTGAGTTTAAACATGAAACAAACCCATCTTGATACAACAAAGGTAGTGCTGCCACCGTGCAGTAGTTCCAGACAACATTTGCCTGTCCAGTGGTTCAAGCTCAAGAATGGGCATCAGGTCTGATGATTGTTCCTAAGTCTTGTATAGATCATGAGTGACTGCAAGTCACTTTGCCTAAGTGCCTCACTTTTCCACTGGACAGAGTTGTTTATTTTATATTTGAATTGCCTACACGCTGCTATTTGCATGATAAAGATAAAGATGTTACAGGAATATAATTTCAGGGATTGCTACAGGGATAGGATATTTTTTTAAAAAAGCAATATTCATTTGAAAGATTTGACTGTTGATACAAAATTTATAAATTTATGTCTAATTGAACACCTTTAAGCAATATGCTTTGAATCCAAGTCTAGTTAAAACTGCTGATACCCAAAGGCCTGTCACAGAGCCCTGGGCTAGATCCAAGAACTGACTTAGGTGCTGCTTACTGAACAAGCAGTTGTAGGCAGTTACTTTCCACACAACATTCCAGACTCACTCCCAAGCCAGCTGTGTCTGGACCCCAGGAGAGATTTCCAGAAGCTCTTGGCCATGCAGCAGAATTTCCTGTGACCTGTAGGAAGAGCTCATAGACAGGTTCCTGCACCACCCTTCAGAGCTGCCTGTCTTGCTGTCCCCTGTAGCAGGAGTCCAGGCACCCAAATATCAGGCTCCCAACCCACTAGCCCTAACTCTGTATTAGATCTAGCCGTAAAGGACTTTTGTGCTGTGATCAAGTACAACTTACTTATGAAATAGAGCTTCTATAAACCACTGAGGTCTAGGCACAATAGTTGTGTGTACTGAAGCCTAGAAGAGCAAACCATCTGTATTCACTGCTCTGAAATACCATGGTACAAAATAAACGACTGGAACATATTGTGGTCTCTGCTTGTTTGTCGAGCTGCAAGCCGGGCGCCTTGGCTGCCATTCTCAGCCCAGAGCCATGTGAGATCATGTTTCAATAGAAGCTGCTTGATATTTTTGTAACTGGGGCTGAAGATCAGAATAATTTCGGGCTTGTCTTCCCCTCCCACTGCCATCCCACTCAAGAAAAAACCTTTAAGACAAAACAGGGGTTTAGTGTCCCTGAAAAGTAGGGAAAAGTGATGACAATGTTGTGAATCACCTCAAACACTGACAAGTAGCTAATTTTTCTCTTTTGCCCTATCTGAGCAGGAACAGTGGAAAGAAAGTCACTAATAGATAAATAGATAAAATATATATTTAGATATATTTAGAAAAATCTAGATAAATAGATAAAATATATATATTTAGGCTTCTGTTGCACCTATGAAAAAGAAATAGCCTTGTCTCCATGCCCATTTGAAATTTGGTGGAACAAATTTTCTCAGCAGAGGCAACCCAGGCTGGCTACAGACCACTCTCCTGCCCTAGCAGCATCCCACTTCTTGGGAATATGTGTTGATTGGTGCCAGGATGATCATGGAGAGGGATTTATTGGGGTAGCCCAGATTACCTGCATGGATGAGGGGAGGCTGGTACCCCCATAAACTCATTTATGTTGGAAAAGACCTTTAAGATCAAGTCCAACCTTTCCCCCAGCACTGTCAAGTTGACCACTAAGCCATGTCCCCAAGTGCTACCTGCCACATCCTGCTGCTGTGGGTGCTCCCCTCAGTCACAGTGAGACTGGTTCCCAGGAAGCCAACAGACCTCACACAGAGAAGCATTTAGAGCAAAACTGTTTAATAAAATATCACTTCAACAAGCATTTACATACAATATATAAAACCACTTTAAAAGCCTAATGTGTTTGAAATCGTCTCAGAGTGTAACAGATGTCAGAAGTTGTTGAAACAACACTAAAAGGAGCAGGAGTGGGGAGGGGAAGGGACACCTCATCTTGGCACCTGCAGCAATGAAAATGCATCCCCACAGAGACTGATCCAGCATCAAAGCTTCCAGTGTTGCCCCACAGCATCAAACAGTGCCAGCCCTGAGCCCAACACCAGCACAGCAGAAAGATTTGCCACATCCTGATGTGCTTATCCATTCCCTGCCTACATTCACATCAAACTCAGCATCAATGTTAATTGTTTTCCCTTTCAGCAGCATTTTAGCTCCCTCTCTGGGCCATTTCTCTCTGTAGCAAACTGGGACTTGAGCAGAGCTCAGCCCGCCTAGGGCTGAGCAGAAGTAGTGACTTACTTGAGCCAGAAAAGCATCCCTAAGGTCTGTTAATGATTTGCTTTGAGCTTTGTCGTTGGAGACAGCTTTGTGGAGATCAGTGCATCTCAGAAGTTGTGTTCTGCAGCCCACCCAGCCAAAGAGCAGCAATGCTGTTGTCCTACAGGAACAAGAGATACCTTGCAAGACCAATGCATCTATTTATGCATGTTCACATCTGCAGATCCTACAGAAAAAGAAACCAAATCCCAAAAAACCCCACCACTGTCTGTAACTCCACTGCTAAACAGCAATTTATTGAAGACCTATTTGCTGCATCCCATCACTCCTTCAGTCCAGGATGGCCTTTAGGGAGGCCATTGTGAAAGGATTTGAGCCCAGCTACTCCTTCATTTTCCTTGGCCATGTATGGCAGGACAGGAGCAAAGACAGCAACTTCTATCTCCTGATTGCCTGCAGCCTCTTTTCAGATCCTGAAGGTGAGGAAAACCTCAGCTAAATCAATGTGGTGCTATATGGACACTTCAATCAGCAGAGCTGAAACAAAATTACCAACTGCAAGTGCTCATTCCAAACCCTCTAGTGGAAGAACCCAGCATTTCAGCTCTGCCAGCAGCTCTCAGGGGAAGATCCCCTTTCCAGCCATACTGAGAGCAGCAGATCACAAAGCCTTGGCACAGCACTGGAAATGGGGTGCAGCTGCTGAGCCAGGTGCTGCAAACCACCCACCCATGAGTGTCACTGTGCCCTACCATGTTTCCCATTGAAAGATGAGCTGCCTTTCACATAAAATCCCACATTCTGGGCAAGAACTCCTACCTATACCTGCTGGAGGACATCACCACGTTGTCAGACAAGAATCTGTGCTTGCAGAATACCCTGGGGGATGTTTGTTTGTACTGCACACAACTGCACTGAGTCAGACTGTCCAAAAACAGCTCAGCTCTACACCTGGGTTGCCTCATCTCCTGCAGGAGAAAGGCTCCAGCTGATGGAATAAAGCAAACAGCTTTTCTTGTGGAAATGGCAAACACAAAGAAGGAACATAACTGAGGCAGAAATATGCAAATGAACTGCTCTCACAAGAGCATGGTCTGGTTTTCACTAAAGTTTTGTAATTTCAGTTGCTTGCAGAGACCAGGGAGAAGGAATTTGTGTTCTTCAGAGGCAAGTAAAGGACTGCACTCCAGATTTCACATCATCCCCCTTTCTCCAGTACAGCTGGCAACAGGGACCTGGACCAGTACAGTGTACCCTAAGCAGGGATGCATTTCCTGTCTACAATCCTGTCCCACATGGTTACAGCTCAAGGAGCATCACCAATGCCAAAGTGACCAGAGAAGGCTGTGGTAGACATGGAAAGGCCAGTCAGAGGCCCAGAGTGATTTACAGTAAGTGGCACAGCCAGGCTGGGCCTGCTGGAAGCAGGAGAGAGCCTCAAAGGCTGAGCAGTCAGGTGGTTCTGCAGAACAGAACTTGGTGACTTTCAGAACACATGATGAGGAAAGGGCCTGGAGAGTCAGCCTCAGTGCTCAGTTTCCATCAGCAGTGCCAGTGCTGCAATTCCAGTATGGGGAAGGATACCAGCAGAAACAAAGCCAAATGGCCATTTATGTGCAGTGAAACAGCAGAGGGAGGGCAGGAAAATCCATATTCCCCTGTCCTGGACACAGCTCAGGCAGCTTTGACACTTCTGCATCCACCCCAGGATTGTCAACCACATTTTGGATTGCACAGATCACCTCTGTGCAGAGGGAAGCAGAGGTGTTCCAGGTACCAGGGCAGGAATACTGAAAGCTAAATTGTAGTGAAGAGCTGACACATACAGAGTGGTGAAGAGTCTGACACAATATACTGGAAGACAAAGGTACACATAACAGTCCTGAGCACCTGCAAGAAGCACATTTAAGAGGTTTCTCTGCCACTACATTTTTATGAAGTTGAAACTCATCAGAAAATTTGAGTCTGGGTGTATTTGGTGGGAAATCATGATACACTGGGAGTTGTAAGCTTCCAGACCAACCCCAGCACACTAACAGCCCAGACAGAAGAAAAAGGTGGAAATCAGAAGCAGCGTTGTAAGAAATAAGGGCTGGAACCTGTGAGCAGATGGGACTGAGTCTGTTGGCAACATCCTTTGACTTCTAAGTGAGAGATAACAGCAGTAGAGGAGGGGAGGGGAGGTTGGGCACAAGAGGAGAGTGCAGCTTCTAGGATGCCATTCCAAACATGAATCCTCCAGCAAACCCTCCAGTCAGGATAGCATTCTTCTTCAGAAATATGACCACCTAAGCAGGGGTGAGAAGAGACAACAGTGTTCAACAACATCAGGCCACCCACTGACCCTCCTGCTAAGAAGAAATCCCTCAGTCAGGCTGTTCTTGAGGCAACTGATGCTCACAGAGATGCCACTGCTCAGATTTGGGAAAACTTCCTACCTAGTGACCTCCCCTCCCTAAGTGCACCAGCACACAGCCAGATCTTCACCCTGCTCAGCCACGAGCAGCCAGCTCCTCCAGGAGAATGCTGTGGGAAATGATGTTTTCCTAAATTCTAGGCAGGCAACGTCCACAACTTTTGCCATCTCTCCCATTTTGCTGTCATGCAAGAATTCCCTCCTTATATTTGCACAACTGAACATCTGTAACAGCTGAACATCTGTAACAGCTCAAGAGGCAATCCTGTTTTCTGCTGTCCCTCCAGCACATGCCCTGGGAGAGCTGTCTCACCTCATCCACTCTGCTTTTCACTTCTGGAGGCATTTTATCACCACTGGTGTGAAATTTCAGCTGCTGCTTGGCTTTGTTCATGTCCCGCTGTATTAGGTTCCAGTCCACCTTGATGTATCCTGTGTGGTTTGCAATCTGGAGTTTTGAGGATTAGAAAAAAGTTCCTTTAGTCCTGCATAACCACGGCTAAACAGCCTCCTTGCTCACCCACCTTCCCTGACCACAGCCACCTCCCACTCACTGGGGGGCACACTGGCTTAAGAATTGGACAGAACACCACCCTGGAGCTGTGTCAAGTGTTCTGCAACATTTGTCTCCCACAGTAGTCCCCAGCTGCTGGGCACACACTGCAGCCTAGCCTGCTTCAGCCTCTGTTCCTCAATGTAAAGCTGGTATCACCTCCCCCTCACAACTGCCATAGATATTGCTGGGACTCCCTGCAGTTCTCCTGCTGCTGTGGGTGGACACAGCTATTAATAGCCCATTCCTCTTAAACTATTTTATCTGCTCAGGGTGATTCAGCTGTGGAACTCCCTCTGCCCAGAGCAAGCTTTTGACTTTCAGCAGAACAAGCAGAACCAGGAGAGTGAGGGAGAATGAGTCACACACAAGACCTGAGGAGCAAACAGGTGAGAGCTGAACAAGGCCTGAGAGCTGCTCTACCTGCTCCAGGATGCCCCAGATGCATGAACACATCCCAGCAGCTTCCCTCAATGCCAGGGCCCATGGAAACCAGCAGAAGTGGTAGAGGATAGAGAGAGAGATCTCCTTTCTCTCCTCTTCCCCAGTGCTTTACAGCGAGCCCCATCTGTGCTGGCTGGACTCCTTGGGAAGCCAGGCTGGCAGGAAGCATGGCACAGATATGGGTAAATCCCTCCTGACATGCAGGGCTGTTCCTCCAGGGACACCATGTCCACAGCCAGACAGCTGAAGCTGTCTCGTGCTCCACTCAGGCTCTCCTGTGCCTTTGGCCTGGCCTTTGGTAGCAGATCCCCAGTG